TAGAATTAATGCATGTCCCATTTCATAGCTAAAAATTTTTCTAGCCAGTCCAACGTGCATTTTATCGAACTGTGATGGGTCTAAAATAGCAGTGGTGAGACCTTTTACTAGAACAGGCCCACCAAGTGATTGGTACTCTACAAGCTGTCGAACATGGGTAATATTAACCTTTGAAGATGTTAAATTATTCGCTACAACCGTAGCCGCACTTAAAGTGAATGTGGACTTTAATAGTTGTGACCAAATTCGTTTTAGTACGTGTGGAACATCAGAGGTCCAATGGAGACGTTCATTAGAGTTACACGGATGCTGACTAAAAGAAGAGACCAAATAACGGCTGGAAGTAATACCATTTAATGACCACATACCAACGTTGGTTAATCCTTCATCCGTAGAAATACATTTCACGATGATTCCCTGCTGGTACAGTTTTTCAACGATTTGTTTGACATAATTCCACAAGACCTCCGAAGTAACAGATTTTCCAGTTAATGCATAACCGATTAATTGTTTCCAATGACTTGTCAACCCCCAAGCAACGAATACAATCGCGTGAGAAGCCATTGAGTCAGCTTCAGTTGAATTTCTGGCTAATTCCGGTGTCACTAATCCAATAAATTTTTCAAGAGCGCGATCATACTCAACAGCAGGGTGAATTGACATCTCATCTAATGCCAATACGCAATAATGAGCAGTTTGATCTTGTTCTTGTTTAATTTTTACCCCTAGCCATTCAATAATATTATCAAAAGTTCCAGGGGCGAAATTTAAGCCAGATAGCCGACTGTATAAAGTAGAGAAAGCAGGTAAGGGAAACCCTTCAATGTCCCTTAAATTTTTGTAGGCTTTAGTACCCATTAACAAGCGAATCCGAAGTCCTTTCTTTATAGTTTCTTCGGACCAATGTTTTGAATTTGTTGCAGCGTTATTTTTTAAAAGTAACAACTGATCTGGATTCAGAAACTTCTTTAAGTTATCATCAAATCTTGATAATTTTTCATTTACCAGAGCAATCTGAAATGAATTTTTGTCTGTTAATTTATTATTTTTTACTTTGTATAAATAAATATATTTCATTATTTCAACAACATTCAATCGCTTCCCAAGCATCACAAAAAAAATATTGTCTTTTTAGGAGATTTCATTCAACAAGAAGTAAAAAATTTATAAACATCAATTTAAATTCTACAAAATATTACCAAAAAAATTTTTGTGCTGCTTGGGTTACTCAATAATTAGCGTTTGATAAAAATAAGCAAATAAATTTTTACATTTTGAGATACATTACCTCGGCTTTTAATGAAGCATTTTCTTCGAGGAGCTCATTAATCTGTTGTTCCAATAATAACTCGCGTGATGATTTCTCAGCGTTATCATTTGATTGCGCGTGAGGGTGGTGGTCTAAACATCCAGTTAAATTTTCCTGAGTGTCTTCAATATTCTCATCTTCTGCAGAGATTTCTAATCCTGAATTTTAATTAAATATTTATCAATTGAAATAATAAATGAAAGTTGATAACATTCAGATGAAAATATTAATTCAACAGAGTAAAATAAAATCCAGACAGACAAAAAGGTTTATTACTGCAGTCAAGAAAATATTTTTCTTCCTAACTACTTTCTCGAGCGAAAAAAAAATTTTTTTTTGACAAGAAATTTCACTTATTCCAATAAAGTTAATTCTCTTACTTTAAGAAATACGTATCTCGATCCAAGAAAATTTATTTAAGTCAAGAAAATCTTCTTGTTTCGAGAAAACTCAGCTTCCTGCTCCAAAAAATTTTGTTCTTGAAAGAAGTAAATTTTCTTGTGTTGAGAAAATTTCTCTCTTGCTCCAAAAAATTAAATATAAAAATATTAGTAAATTTTAATTAATATTTTTATTGATTAACACGTCAAATGGGAAAATTAAATAATATTTCATTTTTTTCATTTCATATGTATAATTGCACGATAAAATTATATAAAATGGGTATCAAATATTTAAGAGAAAAATTTTTTTCTCAGCTGAAATAAGTGGCGTTGCTTCCCTAAAGTATCTAAAAATCTTGATCAAATATTAAAATTGATTGTATTAAGCATTTATGATAATTTGAATTAAGAAAAAATTACTTCCACCAAGAATAGAATTTCAAGAAAAAGTTTTACTTCGGCCAACACAACTTTGGTCTTCCTTCAGGCACCCCAAAATTTTCTAGAACCAAGAATTATTTTATTCTCCAGTCAAGAAATTTTTCTTTCTTTCCAAGTATGCGTGTAAGAATAATAAGTATATAAATTAAAAATCAAAACAGAAATACAGTTGTGTATATAGAAGCCCATACCATAACTTTTTCAAAAAAATATTGATGACAAATTCAACTTATTTATAATATATTATTCAGTATTATTTTATTATTAGAATCATCATGCTACAATAAACGAGAAGTTTCACATACATAACAAAAAGACAGATAATTATTCTTTCTTTTCAATTTCACTTACCCAACCAACTATTAAATAAATCATAATGATAATTATCCATTGGTAATAATTATACAATGAATACAAAATTTTATATTCCAAATCCTAGCTGGTTTACATGGAATAATAAAATTAATTTGAATATTTTTTAATTACATTTGCTTAATAATATATAATAATTAATTTAAAAAGATATCATATCACTCACCTACGATCGATCCGGACACTCCAGATTTATGTCTCTTGCTCTTAACTGAATAATGATCATCATTATCATCATCAGTTTCAAAAACATCAAAAAGTTTACCGGGAGATGGAATTAAAATGTCTGGTGTAACATTTTTTTCAATTTGTATGAGTGGCTGTCACAGTCAAACAACCCTTTGCTAAAATGACCCTAGTAATCCAAGACCAGAATTTTAAAATAAAATTGTTAAAGGTAAGATGTTAAAAGTCTACTTCTGGATTACGATGTAACTGTTATCGTTTTTTATACTTTTTTTCCGTGTATACACTGATAAAAAATTTAACTTGACCCAAAAGAGACAAAATTTTGAAACAAGAAAACCTTGTGGAATAGAATAATTTTCTTGAGCCAAAAAAGAAAAATTTTTTGAATTTAGAAAAATGTAGTGAAACGAAGAGTATTATCTAAGATTAAAAATTTTTTCTCTTCACTCAGAAAAATTATTCTTTTCCAAATAGCTTTTTTTATTGGTTCAAGATTTTTTTTCGTCATGCAAGTTACTTTTTTTATCATGGTGGTAAATACCTCACACAAACGAGAATTCTCAGTAATGGGTTTTGAAATTTTACAAGCAGTTGTCCATTTACTTCTCATCTCAACTAAATGAGAAAACCTCAGCATTTTAAAACCCTTTTCACTGCTGTTATGACAGTCAGGAAAGCTACATCCACCCATGATCTGCGTTGATAAATATTAGTTTAGATATTGTTACATACAATAAAAAGTTATCCAAATGCAGATTTACTAAAAATAAATATCCATACTTACTTAATTTAGCTCTTCAATACACACTTTCAACAACAAAACATTAAAAAAAAAACAAATCGACATTTTTAAACAAATGACAATCGCGAAATTCTATACTACTTGTATCAATCAAATAAATTAAAAATTTTCATTTCTCTATAGACATAAATAAATAAATATTTTTAAGGATAAATAATTGTCATTATAATTTCTATAAAAATATAAATTAATTAGGATAAGAAATAATTTGCAATTAATAAGTATCAGATACCTCATAAGGGTAACGTTGAATTCGAAATTTCCCACCAGTAGCATTTGAATTGCTAAAAATTTCATTGTTAATATAACCCGATATTGTTCATCATATTTACTATAACATTTTCATAAAAATTTCAATAAATTAAAATGACTGTATACATACTAATTACTTACTTGTTATTAGACGAGCTCTAATCTACTTATTTTTACATATAATCTACTTATTTTTACTAATAATTAATAAATAATAATAATTATTTAATTTAATTATTAATTATTAATAGTAATACATAATTTATTTATACATATATATAAATTTAATGATAAATAATTTATTAATTTAAAATAAAATTATTAATAGTAATACGTTCAGTATAAGACCTGAGAATCTATTGGATTAAAAAAATTATAATAAAACTATACAATAAATGCAAAAAAAAAAAATATCAGAACTGTCGAGTTTCGAACCCGGACTTGGTAAATGAAAAGTTATCAAAAAGTGTGGGCGCTACAGTAAAGCTTACCATGGAGATGTAAGAGGTAAATGATAAACTGCGTTTAGGAAAAACCAGTTTAACCGGAGAATTTACGGATACAATAAAAAAAGCTATAAAAAGGTTTTTATTTAATTATTATTATTATTTATTATTATTGTTAAAGGGTCAAAATAATTTTTTTATGCAATTATTATTTTTTAAATAAAATTTATTATTATTGCGAGAGTTAGCATGAAAATACTTTAGTTGCCGGTTAGTGTGTCTGACACACTCGTGGTGGCACGACCGCTTGACGCATTTCCCATCATGCATTGCAGGATTGGAATACCTTCTTATATATTATCTTAAGTAACCGGAAATCTGTCTAATTGGTTTCTAGACAATAGATGTCTTCCAACACCTTCCTTCTATCTAGGCTTCGTCATTAAAAACATCGATGTATATCGCCATTACTTAGCGCCGCGTAGCAGCAAAGCTTGTGAAATTAGTTGTAGTTTAATTTTAATCACATTAGTTATTTAATTAACCTGAGTGATAAGTGAATAATAGTTAGATAGAAAAGTAACCCCGGTGAAAATATGTTTCCGCCAGCAGTCTGAATCATTCTTATGAAATTCTGAATCAGACTTTTATCAGTCTGATTCTCTCTGCAAATGTCATAACAGGAGTTGGTTAGACAGATAATAATGACATTAAAACGTATGGTTTGACAAGAATTTCGGACCCGCTAGAAGACTTTTCAGACTGATTCAGAGCTATTAATTTTTGTTTGTTTATTGGTTTTATTGGTTAATTGGTGAAAACATTTTTCGATCAGGGTACTAATAACCGTTTATCATAAGTGATTAAATTTATCGATTTATGTTAGTTAGATATAAAACAAGTTTTTGTATAGTGCGTTGTGATTTGCAATAATATAAAAAATCGAAGCAAATATTTCTGCTCATTTGATCGGTATCCATCAAATTAAGAGAAAAACGCAAAGAGATAAGCTTATTACAGTTAATCGTATTGCGAATGAGATAATTAAAACGTTAAGTGAGAATGAATTTGTAAAAACACTGATAGAGAAGGCTGAAATGCCGGAAGATATGAAGCCGTTCGTACGACTGGAAATAGCCAAACAATTAAAAGAGCCCGAAGAAATCATCAATGCTCTTAAATCTAATAACATTTTGTTGACAAACCGTGCTCTCAAAGCCAAATGGTTTTTTAATGGGAACAATAATTCGATAAAACTTTATCGCGAGCAGATTTGGTCATTTGTATCTTTGAAACTTCGGAAGAAAATAATTAGGTGTCTAGCTAATAATATAACAAAGGCCATTTTTGCTGAAGAATTTTACAAGGAAGTGGCTTCCTTGTATGGAGAAGACCAAGCTCAGCCTCTTCTGATTGTCTGCAGCCAAGATTTTATTGAACGCTGTTTTGATGATAATAATTTTCAACTGGATGGCAGAAGAAATATGAGATTTTTATTCTACAAAAATCCAAAGATCATTATGAATTATCTCAAACGTCGTAGCAATGATCAGATTAACAAATCAATTGTTTACACGTCTTTAGATTTGTTCAACTTCCTTCCAAGATTAATTAAGAAGTGTGATCAGGATTTTGTTGAAATAATGGAATTATACGATCATTATACGTGTTGTGCTAAACTTAGCAAAAGGCGTACAAAAATATTTTTGAATAAACGCAAAGACACTTTGATAAAAAATGGTAAATTATTTCTACCTATTTTGGATTTGAAGAGCGTTTCGAAATTACTGACCAAAGAGCAGTTTTCAACCATGCTAGAAACACTATATCCAGACGATATTGAAAAATTTATTCTATACGATAGTATGAAATATCTCAAATTTTTTGAAAAAGAAGATAAATTTCGTATCCTGACAACTTCATTTGAAAAATTCTACAAAGTAAATCACCTTAACTGCTCTGCGTTAATAAAAGACTGTGAATTCATACAAATACTTTCTGCTGAAAATCGCTTTAAATTAGCAAGAATTCAATATGAAAAAATAATGAAAGATGATGTCTTCAATGAGTCCTATTGGATTTCTCTTCTACCAATTGAAGAGTCGATTCCACACCTCAAAGCACGAATCAACAGCTCGACTCCTTCTAGCGGTCGATGTATTTATTTGGAGAGATTAATTAATACCTGTATTATCAATGATGATAAGGATGAATTACTTAAAGTACTTGAATATATTTGGGAAAGGCACAAAGATGAATCGCCTGAAGATTTAATAAATATTATCTTTAACGAGATAATGGAATTAATTTTTTATGAAAATCAAATCCATCTACTGGAAACGCTGAGTCAAAATCACTTCGACATAATTTATGAATTAATTAAGATGTTGCATGCCAAAGGATTAGTGGATGTTAGAGACAGAATATTTAAATTGATGAAATGGGTATATCGGTTTGATATTATGAATAATATAGAAAATGATAAAATGAACTTCATTGTTGATCTATTTGAAAATGATTTCTATTGTTACTATCTGATTTATAGTGATATTGAGTTCGAGATTTTTAAAAGAACTGATTAAAGCTTTACAGTGCGAGAATGAAAACTATGAAACTTGCCCAACTTTTCAATGGATAACGTACATTATTTGCGTAATCTATGACTTGAATAAGCATTTAGCAGTTGCTAAAAAGATGTCTCTCAAGGATTTTCCATGGATCTTGAATGGAGCGAAGAAAGTACTGAGCATCGATGATGATAGTTATAACAAGAGATGCTTGAGGGGCATATTGAGAAAAGAAGTTAAAAGTCTGTATGATGAATTAGTTCTTGAAATGCAAGCATCCTTATAAATCTGTTCTTCAATGCTCATGATATGCTGGATCGATCGTAAATTAAATTTGATTCGTGCGCTTAACATTAATAATAATAATATTTGACGTAACGTTACTCAAGGAATGTAAGTGATATATAAGAAATATAATATACGTCCGAAAAAATTTGGAGTATTCAATGACGCACACCAAGTACGTTAAGAAAAAATTTTTTTTCATCTTTTAAACTTGTAACGAAATTTTTTTTCGATAATAATAATTGTATAACTGGTACTTGGTTTTTTTAATATT